AAAACCAAACAAACAAAAAAAACACCTGACCAAAACTAAGCACTTAATTTAGGAACACAAGCAAACAAATAAATAACACCAAAACCCCAAAACATTTTAGGGTCCTCTTCCATTCCTAAGTGTATATGTGCAGAGACAGTCACGGTGACCTATTGATCCATGACACAGGAATGCAGCAGTCAAGGAAAGACTCTTAAAAGACGCCCAGTAGACTTTTTACAATATCAATCTCAACTCTATTCAAGAAATCACTGTCTCTTCAGTACTGTTCAGGTATTTTACGTATAGGTATATATACTATCAAAAACAAATGCAAAAATTTATTGACATTAGCAAAAAATATACCATGTTTAATACATCCGTTTTTTTCTTTTTGGAAACGTATTAAAATCCTTTAATTCACAGCTTCTGCACTATGCTCTTCACTTCAGTCAAGTGATCTTATATAAGTATTTTTTTTTAAAAAGAAACAGACCTCAGGGATTACAAATATTTGCTTGAGAGTCCGTTTGAATCTTAAAACTGCATTTTATCTTTCGAATGAAGGAAACGTTTTTTAAATACCTGAAGTCTTTTGGCATGACTAAAGAAACGGAACCTCTTGAAAATCCTTATCAGTTTATAAGACAACCCAGGTACCAGTAATTTAGGCACTTTTGTTCAAATCACCCATGCAACACACACTTGATCAGACTTGACTTGAGTGTCAGCTTATTTATTATGTATGCACAATTATCTGCATTATTTGCATCGAAAAATTATACAGCATCCCCATGAAAATTACAATTGTTTGTTACTATTTGACCTAAGGGCTTTCTTTCTAATGCAGTTTAAGAGGCATGAGTTGCTGGAGCATTAGAGTTTCACTTGGTCAGAGAGGTATCAACTAGTTAATATGGAACAGTTGGGTTGAACACTGATTAACCTAAGTATTAATGACCACAGATAAATTTGCCTTACAGAAACAAATTTTAGTGAAGCAAGCTAAAATAAATCAAATGCTAATAAGTCCCAGTAACAGTAATAATATGTCTTAACTTCACACACACAGAAAAGCGGAGTCCATTCCAAATGAAATTGTTAGTTGTGCTTCTGTTATGGTTTTATATCTATGGCAACGGTAAATCATCAATTGAACTTCACTACTAAAGCATTTAGAGACAAGGGTGGGGAGAGAAGAGAGATTTTTAAACTAAAAAGAATTCAAAC